TGTTGATGTTGTTGCTCCATTGAAAATAATTGGATTGATGTTTGTCATCACCAATAAGACTGTTTCGTCGTATCTGCAATAGATTAAGTCCATGTTTTCGACAAATCAGTTATCTCAACTGGATATGCCCCCGTTATCTTATCTTCTTTTTCCCTCCAAGCTCGCTGCCACATACATATTGACCACCGAACACTCTATTATAATAGATTCCCACTCTTCACATAACGCCATCCTATGAAAAAAGCTATAAAATCCCGCAAAAATTGTTATTATTAGGGTTGATTCACGTATACACTTAGATATGATCTCATAATTTTTTTGAGTCATGGATATATTCTTTGTATAAGACATATATACATACACCATTATGACAATTGAATCAGAACTCGAACATGCAGCAGAAGAAATAAAACGAACCATTTGTGCACTACACAAAACGGATTCCAAAGACACAGATTACTTGGCATTGCGTACAAAATACTCCTGCACCCTACGAACTACCAACCATTAAGATGTGAACCTTATAAGATTTTATAGTGTCTCAATATTAACTCTCCCCAATTAATAAACTAATAACCTTCTCCCAGGCTTCTTTAACCGAAGAACCTAAACAAGACACAAGCGAAAACATACATAAACTTTAAAAATAAAAAATACATAAAAAAAACTATCAATTATTCTGCTTGGGTAACAAAGCAACCAATCATGTGTGTGTATGCCAAACATTTGGCTTGGTTCGGATGGAGGACCTATCCCTGCTGGGGTAGGTCCAACATCTTGTACCATGGACCTACCCCACTGGGGCCTCCATTATGAGGGAACGGGGAGGGACACACACACACACACACACACTCACATAAGTTCAATCTATTTTTTGACTTTTTTTTCTAAATAATAATAATAAATAAATAAATAAGTAACTAAATAAATAAATAAAATTAAAAAATAAAAATAAATTAATAAAGTAATCAAAAAATAAAAAATAAATAAAACATAATATACTCAAAGAATAATAAATAATAAATATATAAAAATAAAAATTGTAATAAAATTAAAATAACCCAGAAGGATTTTCGACAAAGCTACACAAACAATTCCTTAAAGCAACGTCATTGAAGTATATTTGCATAATAAAGCAAAACATAATATATAGATAAACAAAACTCCTTGTATAACAAGTTATGGGATACAAAAATAAAACTGATACAACAATACAGCATACCGGAATCCTGTCACGGTCAGCTACCCAACCCACAAATTGAAACGTTGCATTTAAACCTAGGCTACCACAGTGGCCCAAGGTCACTTGCCCGGCTGGGCCAAAAACATTAAAAAAAATAAAAATAATATTTTTAAACTTCATTTTTTATTTTGAATTTGGTGAAGATTTTCGATGTGACCCTGAGGCAAACGTTGTTCACTTTATTTTCTGCATAACATAGTTTTTTTGTGGATTTTTTTTTTTTTTTTTTTTGCTAAGACCTTCCCTGGTCCTTGCACGAGCTGGCCACCCGGGACCCGGGCGGCCTGGCTGGTAGCCAAGATTTAAACTAAATTATCGCCGCCACTTTGCAAAAATGACACACAACAAATACCGCCAAAAACACATGACCACGCATGTCCCCATCCTACAAGCTAAGCGCACACACCTTAGTCTGCAAAGCACTGCAACACGAGGCAAACTAAACTCTAAAATGACGCTTCCAAACAAAATTATAGCCCACGTTTATCCAATACGACAACCAACAAATACCACCCAAAACATGTGCCCACAAAATGTCCCTATCCTACGACCTGAGAACGCGCGCCATAGCCTGCAAACCACCTTTACATAAGACAAACTTGACGAAATAACACGACATCAAAAAAAACCTCGTCCCACCTCCTACTTCCTACACCCTTCCCCCCTAAAAAAACGTGCCCATAACACACGAGATAAATAAGATTACATATAAAAAAAAAAAACTTCGTACTAAAACAACTCTACATACATAATTTAAAAAAACAACACACGCTACCATACCAATGACCATAATGAATGCATCCCCCTCCACCCATATCTACCCTACGCGAACCCCTTCTATCTTACGAAATACACAAACCACCCTTCTACATGATTATCGCCCGGCTACCCCGCATCTCCTATATGCAGCTTCGTCGCCTGAGACTCATCCGTGTATAACCACTTGCACTTACAGTGCTACAAGCGCTCTCTGCTGTCCATACTCTTGCTCCGGGTTGCACAGGTATGCTATGCTCTCGCCGAATCCCTGCTCGCATGCTTCTAAGCGAGTAACACCTTCTCAGCAACGAGATCCCATGTAACTGCTGTACCAGACACACTCCTGACTAGACAGTGTGATCATAACTGTGCAATTGAAGACGCGTCCTCGGTGCTACATACGGTGACACGTGGCAGCTGATCTCTAGGGGACCCGATGGCTACCATCGAAGATACATCGTCCTAAGCGCTACACACTCAGGTATGGCTCTACATACTCTTACCACATTGTGTCTGCCTAACAAACAAAATAAATATTAACTCCCTCCCTCCCCGAACCCTTCCACCACTACTTACACACATACTTAACCCCCTAATGGGAGCCAGAGGTTGTCCCTTTGATGAGCTATGGGTGCTAGGCAGCGAAAAGCGCGCTTCAGGGCGTGCACCCCCCCCATGGCTGTCTTCAATAGCCATCTTTAACATCAGCCTAACTTCTAAGCTGCTCCCATCTTGATTAATCCTTCAAAACTAACATGCATCCTCCTGTTATGGAGTTGATGACATAATAAATTTTTTCTTCTCTCAACCCATGTTGTGTTATGCCTGCTGCTAGCTTGGCGATATTTTATGATTGGACAGATCCATGGTCTGGTTCCCCATTGTATATGGGGTAGCCCTGTTCTACACACCCACTACACTCACACACACACACACACACACACACACACATGCACACACACACACAGAGTTCAACCTCCTGATGAGTCGGTGAGAGTCCGAAACAGTCTGGCACAGTCATGCTTTCTCGGTGGAGTTCTGTACATTGAACTGGACGTAGCGAATTTAAGCTGCGGAGAGTACTGACCTGTTCCCAACAAAAACTGCTGGCTCTCCAATCACCTCCTTGACGAAGTCCGACAACTGCGAACCCCACAAGTGCATGTCGTAGTCCACTAGAGCTTTGTCGCTCCACCCAAAGCCCAGCATGTCCACCGCATAGACTTTGAATTTCTTCGCCAGAGCGGGAATATTATACCTGAATTGAAACAACCAAGTTGAACCAACTATGCTCAGTGTAACTCCTGCACCCACATGCACACACACACTACTTCTCTTGAACCGCCACTACCTTTCAGGCTGAGAGACTAAGTCGTGAAAATAACCTATACCACATTTTTTTCAGAGGCCGGCGGAGGCTGGGCGCTACCGGACCACAAAGGCTGGAGCGCGAAAACAAAATGAAAAACGCCACAATGCGGGTTGGCCCACCGTTGGCGCGCAGTTCGACTCCACCTCAGCAAAAAGAGGCTCGGAGGTAGGTAGTGGTGGTTTAACTGAACATCATTGGACAAGCCACCATTCTAAGGCTGATACAGGCACCCCCAAGATCGTGGACTTGCCACAGCTGATCGCTCCAATGATCCAATCTATTGGTGGGAACAATGTAACAAATATTGTCATAGTGTTATAAGACCGTCATTATCAAAGAAGGCCCTCGTTCCCCTACATGTTTGTTTTCTGCGGCTTCTCGGCTGAACTTGGGTGCGAGATTTCGTACCGTCGTCCATAGCACACACTTTGATCTGGAATTGCCAATGACACATTAGAACCATCAGAGTCTGAACACAGTGCTGATAGCCGTACTAGTTATATCAACACACACACACACACACACACACACACACACACACACACACAGAGGATGGCAGGGTTTGTGCGAGTAAAGTTGACCGCTTTTCTCAGGTGTATCGCTAACTCTAGGCTACATGGCGAGTCCTTATCTATCAGTCAAATGCGTCCTGGGAAGACTCTCAGGATTCGACCTCCTGATGAGTCAGTGAAAGTCCAACGAAACAGTCTGGCACAGTCATGCTCTTTTGGTGGAGTTGGTATAGCGAACACGACAACACACACACACACACACACACACACACACACACACACACACACACACACAGATGGTTCATGGATTCCGGTTAGTATTAAATATTTGTTTATTGATTATTTGTCTAGGCTACCAGAGTGGCCCGGGGCCACTTGCCCGGCCGGGCCAAAAAACAATAAAACAATAAAACAATAAAAATTATTTTTTTAATTTTATTTTTTATTTTAAATTTGGTAAAGAATTTCGATGTGACCCTGAGGCAAAAGTTTTTCAGTTTATTTTTCTGCATAACAGAGTTTCTTTCGTTTTTTTTTTTGTTTTTATTTTTTTGCTAAGACCTTCCCTGGTCCTTGCACGGCCGGGCCCGTCCAGGGAAATAGGGTGACCCGGGCGTAGTAGTTGACGTAAACGACAAACTAACTTCAAAAATTAACCATCCATCAACCACAAAGAAGAAGAAGAAGAAGCACAAGGAGATAGAATACGCAAATACAAAAAAAACAGACGTGACAATGATATTCGAAGAATATAACAATGAAGGACAGCGGCGTGGACCCGACTAGTTTCGGCTGGCCCGCCAACCAGCCTTCATCAGGGGTCTTGATCGTCGCAGATGCAACAAAGTCCTAATGTCTTGCGTATTAATAGTCAAAAACGAAAGGGTAAGACCAGCGGAAACCCACTGCAGCCGTCAACAGCGAGAACCAATCATCACGTCCTTTAGGAAACTACTGCTAAAAAATCAAACAGCTGATACCGGGTTCAAGGCCTTGGCTAAAACATCCCACAAAACACCATTTCAGGATACTACCACGTCGGCTCGAATCCAAAGGAAACATGCTTCATCGATAGTTCAATGTGCCAAGTCCTGTTCTAAGAACAATTCCTAGTTAAAGGCCCACAGCGGCCAAGCCATCCTTGTACGACAAAACAATCGACCCATTAGACAGACCAAGTGGGCACCGGTTCGAAACTCAGTAGCTCAGAAACAAATGAACATATTCCCGGGAGGAGACAACAGGCGAGATATGTCCCCCTATATAGTGTCGACCGAATGGACACCGGTTCGAAACCCAGTAGCTCACAAAAAAACAACAAACAAACAAACAACAAAGAATAACAAACAAACATATTCCCGAGGAGAGACAACAGACGGGATATGTGACCCGGGCGGCCCGGCTGGTAGCCTAGTTACTTGTTTATTTATTATTTGTTTATTATATTATATCCTGTCTATATTATATGATATTATATCCCATATTATTTATTATACGTATTTTATTATATGTATTTTATTATATGTATTTTATTATATGTATTATTTTATTATTACATTCATGTATATTACATTTGTCGCAGACTGCGCCACTTTGCCTCCATCGATAGTATTCATTTCATTCGAGCAAGAGTTATTTACTATTATTTATTGTGGTTTCAATTAACACAATTGCGATGTCAACTCATCACATCCTGGAGCTGGAGAAAACGTCTATTTTCCAACAAAAAAAAAGAAAAAAAGAAGAAAAAAATGCAATTTTGTGAAAGGAATTCGCATTAGTTGTTCAGGTCGAAACAACGGTGCAGATATTGCCAAAAGACTGAATGCAGAAAATAGGGTCAAACATGTTTGCATGTGTTCTCCGATAAAACAGATTATGCTACCTATTTAATATTTATGCAATTCTTTGTAGTATACCAAATAAATTAGGAGGTGTTGCTGCAATAGGTCTTGTCTTTGTTTTACTATTCGCTTTACCTTTCATAAGCACTTCATATGTACGGAGTTCAACGTTTAGACCCATTCACCAAAAACGTTTTTGATTACTTGTGGCAGATTGTTCTATGGTCGATGGAAATAGTTTCGTTGACTTTGGACGGATGGGAAGAAGGATCTCATGATTATCGAGTTCGCTAGTGTACCGTCCGCCCAGGGGTTTACCAATGGGGTAGCACCCAGCCACAGCAAGAATGGCCGTACCGTACTTGGCCAAAACACAAAAAGAAACCTAAGCAAATGTGGGGCCTGTTCCAGCAGAGAAGAGAACTAGCAGGTTTGCATCGCGTACGTTTTCATCGCACTTTTAGACCTACCTCCAGTGGAAGGCCGAAGCTCCGAATCCATGCACCAACAGCAGGGGTTGCCCCTCCCCCTGCACAACATAATGTATCTGCCAGTCACAAGAGCATATGCACATCCACACAGTTCAGCTGGTGGGATTTCTTCTTTTTTTTTCTGTCCCATCGCACAGCCAGGGGAGATGGGACCATGAGAACAGGATATGACCACAAAAGGGAGGGAGGGAGAAAATGGAACCAATGAGCACCCAAGCAACATACAGCAATAGCAGCCCCCAGGAGGGGCCCTGAAGAAGAGGGTAGCAATAAAAAAAAGGGATGCGCACGGGCAGGGAGACATAGGGTGGTGTGTGTGGGGGGGGGGGGCAGAGTGTGTTAACATGGAAACAAACAAGTGGACTACTGAACATTAAGGGGCAGTTACATCTGTGAAACTGTTGAAAATTGAAATCATGCCGGCAGGTGAGGGAGAATGGGGTGAAAGGGAGGCGGGGAAGAGAAAAGACATGGGACAGATGGAAAATACAAAACTGGAAAGTGAGGTTGAGCAGGCCACAGAGAGAGAGTCGGAACTGGGATCAACCAGGGGCCTGGATCCACTAGCGAAGTATTCTACGACGTGTGACACAGTTTTATGTTTTTTTGGAAAATACAAAGTGATTTTTTATTTGCATGAATGGATCTTTTTCTGATTTAAAATGAATTGAAATAGCACATAAAACTATGAAGAACAGCTGTGCACCCGAATTCATGGGTTGGTACCATCTCCTTCACGTAAGTCTTCATAGTGATGTACCGTGGCAATAAAATGTGTCCAAGAACACATTCACGAGGATGAACAAGTAACGGGTATTAGGATACATTCCTCGCGATGTATCTCATGATGCCTGTCAGATGCACCACAATATTCGAATTTCACATTTCAAAGTTCTATTTCTCAGAGCCAAAAAAAAAAAAAAAAAGAAGTCTGGAAATCAACCCCCCCACTTTGGAGCCCATAAAATCCTGACTTCCCGCCCACGCAAAGCCACGAGCTATCATGTCCAAGTTAGTCCAACTTCGTTTTTTTTTTTGTTTCGACGCATCTCATTGGACGGGAGGTGGGCAGCTTTACAGTCCCCGCTCGGAAACTACCAGGCCGTCGAGATCCAATCTATTCGATGGCCGTTTTCAGTCACTCGATGCCACACGTGATCGAAATCCTGAACGGCGTGGTAGAATACCTTGCTAGTGGGTCCAGGCCCCAGGGATAGTGGAAATCAGAGAGCAGGTTAACAGGGAGGCCCAAAACTCAGCGTTTTCTGAATGCAATTTATAAGAAAACCCAAAGACCTTTTTAACCAAACTTGGCAGCAGTCCATAGAGTGCACACCATATTAACAAACACTGGAAAAAAAGAAGAAAAAATTCTGCGGTCCTGTTTAAGGGAGAGGCATCACCGGTCAAGCCCAAAAACTGGACCGCAACACACCGCAAATCCTATGAACAAAAAAAAACACCAAGGGAAGCAAATCAACCGATGTCTCTCTCTCTCTCTCTCTCTCTCTCTCTCTCTCTCTCTCTCTCTCTCTCTCTCTCTCTCTGTGACCCGCCATCTCGATCTTATTTATTTATTTATTTCATTATTATTTTATTATTATTTTATTATTATTTTATTTTTTTATTTTATTTTAAAACCAATCACTCAGCTAGCTAGCTTCCTGGTCGCGTGGGGAGCTACACCTGCCATCTGGAATTTGCGAGTGTGAGTGGGCACAAGTGGATGCTGTCTCATAACGAAAGAGATGCAATGAGCAATGTACACTGAGATATACGTGGCAGATCCAGGAGACGACCTGGATGCCGGACCTACCAGTCCAACAGACCGATGGTCCCCTAGGGATACTGCTACAATTTTCAATTTTACTTTGGTCAATCCTGAGAAAAAAATACTTCCAGAATCGAGACTGGAACTGATAGCCAGCTCATCTTCAGAAGCTATGGTCTCCGGCCAAATAGAACGTGTCGTAGTTATGGCTGTATTCGGGGCAACTTCCTGTCTAAGATACAGAGATAACGCCAGTGCATGCTACAGATTCCGCTGAATACAACGTACGGTCATTATAGCCGAATTCGGTGCATCTTTCAGTCTAAATTCAGCTATAATCACCTTATGTTGCATTCGGGGGAAGACTGTAGTCAGCTGAACACAGTAGCAGGTCTTCTGAATGAGATATGCCACCTCAGACCAGGACCTGGAAGACTGTAGTCAGCTGAACACAGTAGCAGGTCTTCCGAATGAGATATGCCACCTCAGACCAGGACCTGCCACATCACTTGGCCAATCAAGCAAATCAACGATGTTGTTATTGGATTGGTACCTCTGCGCTATTTATAGCTGAATTTGGTGCATCTTTCAGTCTTAATTCAGCTATAATCACCGTACGTTGCATTCGGGGGAAGACTGTAGTCAGCTGAACACAGTAGCAGGTCTTCCGAACGAGATATGCCACATCAGACCAGGACCTGCCACATCACTTGGCCAATCAAGAAAAATCAACGATGTTGTTATTGGACTGGTACCTCTGGACCACCTCAGCCGTCCTCCATGCGAGCACGGACTCGAACCGGCGACCTCAGCCTCCAGAGCCACATATCATAACCACTACAGCCAGGACACGGTGTTCAAAACCAAAACCATACCGGCCATGATATACACCCCACCCCTGCAAGGCTGTAGCGTCCAAACTCAAACACCACACGGACACTGGCAATCCTGTACACTTCGCTCCAAGTAGCACATGACCCCCATCGGTAGTATAGCCTGCTCACTATGCAGGACTTCAACTGCCCGCCAGTTCACGGGAGCTTTCTTCCGATGTTATTGGATATGTACCTCTGGGCCTCAGCCCTCCTCCGTGCAAGCACGAATTCGAACCGGCGACCTTGGCCTCAAGAGCCAAGTATTGAAACCACTACAGCCAGGACACGGTGTTCAAAAGTGCAACCATACCAGCCGTGATATCCACCCCACCCCTGCCAAGCTGTAGTATCCAAACTCAACACACACCGCACACAACACCACATGAACTCTGGCAATCCTTTACACTTCGCTCCAAGTAGAGCCTGTCGAAAGAAGAAGAAGAAAAAAAAAAGATGAACCTGTAGATCAACCGACAGAAAAGCAGATGCTGCAGCAGTTCAGCTCTGCACTCTGTAACCAGCAATGCTTCAGGGAGCGCATAGATTAAAAACTGCAGTCAGTCTCTCCCCCTCTTCCGCGCCCTGCCCCCCCCCCCCCCCCCCCCCCCCCCCCCCCCCCCGGCAAAACTGCAACGGTGCAACCCCTTCCACATTCAAGGAGTGACAGCTGGTAGGTATGCTATTTTTCATTCACGCACCTTATGGCCCCTCCATTTCCAGTAGCTATAACCCTCCGGTCGAAAAGCCACCCTCTGAATTCCTGCACCGACACAAACAAAACAAAAAGTACAAGTGCCACCATTGCCCAATCAAAACGTTGGTAGTGAAAGGCAAAAAAGAATTTGAGAGAAGAATATAATGTAGCATTGTAGTTCAAAAAAAAAACAAAAAAAAAAACAAGGTTGTTTGGTAGGCATGAGGAAATTGTTGCGTACCTGACATGATTTTGTACATGTCTACAGAAGAATTACCCTTAGTACGGAAAAAGGACGCACTAACACTACGACTCCTTCGACTCCGCTCTGGGCCTGATAATGGTCAGATGCATCGAGGTATGGCCGTAATTGCAGTCAGGAACCTTTAGGAAAGTGCTCCTGTTAGGACTTTTTTGCCAAACTTCAACTTCTTTCCATGCGCAGCACTCAAACAAACTGAAGCGAAGATTGATCAATCTTGAAGATGGCAATTGGAGAAAAGCTTTACATCAAGTTCACAAAAAAAATTCACATTGAACAATCACACCAGCACACTTGATGAAAATTAGAAAAGGCGATGTACACTCGAGGGGTAGGCTGCACAGAGCAGTCCGCAACGACCGGCACTCAAAACCGAGCAGTATAGCGCCAGAACACACTGGCTATGGCTGCGCCCAAACCCTTTCCTTCAGTTCCCAAGATTGCCTCTGCTGCTCCTTCTCTTCACTCTACCAAAATCGCAAACTGAGCAATGAACGAACTGCACTCCTAGCTCGTCAACTTTTTGTTATGTCCATTTTGCCTGGGCCTATTGTGTGGCTCTGATCTATCTAGAGAAATTTTGAGGACTACATCCCGTGGGGTCCTATGTGTCCAATATCAACAAACAGTATGCTCACTTGGAGGTCCCATGTTCAAATCGGACTGGCAGCGAACTTGGAAAACAAAAACGGACACAACTCGTTTCTTTCTCTGCTTCACATCTGGGCCAGGTTTTGGGTTTGAATCCCCCTGAGCCCAACAGCTCCTGTGAGTATGACTAGAGTCTGCTTCACATCTGGGCCAGGTCTTGGGTTTGAATCCCCCTGAGCCCAACAGCTCCTGTGAGTATGACTAAAGTCAGGTTCATCGCAGATATACACACGCAGACAGAGGTCCACAAGGAAAGTCAACAACAATGCTCCAAGGAGACAAGAGGGAACAGTGCTTCTGAGGCTCTGCTCTAGAAGCCTATCAGGAAACAAATAAGGAGTTAAAAAAAAAAAAAAAACGGAGTAAGTCAACAGAGCAGACAAGACAACCATACATATTACATACCAAACCAGGAAAACCGGTTAGGCAGCAAGCAGCAACAGAGGCCGCTGCTGCACAAGGTACAGCAGAACGGAAATGGCACAAAGAAATACTACTGCGCTACTGTCTTCCCCCAAACACAACGCACCCTGACATGAATGTAGACAAGCTATCTTTCAGGCCGTGGACAGTAATGATGAGGGAGCATTATCTCCGGGGGAAGACGGTATGTAGGCAGACAAATTACAAGAGGATGGATGGCAAGCGGGCGTTGAAAGGGAAGGGGGGAGGAGGGTGGACAGAAAGAGGAGAGAGGAGGAGCGGGGGACAAAAAAGAAAACCACCCACGGAAGAGAACAGACTCTGAGGAGCACGGGAGAAAACCTCGTCCTTCGGGATACCCATTAAATTGGGATGATACAGACAAGCTTGGCATGGCCCTGGCACAAGGATGAGACACATAAATAGAGAAAACCCCAAACCTGAATGCAGAGCCAAACATGATGTAAGGGGGTGCAGACATCACTCACCATTATTGTCCGTTTCTAATTGTACAGGGGTCTCCGCATTGTCCATGGGGGCTATCGAGCCATTGTTGTCGCTGACTTCAAGTTCGCCAGCAAGCTCCAGCTTGGAAGTGCCAATCAGAACTGGTATGTCTTCTTGACTTTCCACCGCATCTTCAGGTCTAGTTGTGAGGCCAGAACCGCCGGACATGCAAGTGATTGGCGCGCGGACCTTTGTTGTAGAACGCCATCCCCTCCTCCCCCTCCTCCCTCCCATCGCACAAGCTGTATCATCACGAACGATTTTAATCCCCTTACATTAATGAAAAGGTTACAGAAAAAGAAGGTGGACAGGGTGTTGGGGGGCAGGGAAGGGGAGGATCTGCCACAACATGGTGTTGTCCTGTGCTGTGCTTGAAGTGGAAGTGTGCTTGGAAGCACTTTGCTCGAATAACAAAAAGAAAAAAAACAGTTTTTTTTTGTGTTTTAGTGTTTTTTTCTTTTTGTACAAAAGGGCGACGGCCTTGAGATATTATCATTGAGTTGACCGGCCCCAAGCAATTCATTAGTAGTTGGGTTTACTTGTCAAGTTCCATCATCTGGATTCGAACACAGGTCTGTATTTCAACAGTTCATGGGTGTACCCACTGAGCTAGGCTCTTGGGTTCAGTCGGCCGGTTCCTATTCCCCCGGCAAGTAAAAATAGCAGAATTACACCATTGCACACACACACGCCCCCTTTCGTCTGGCCGAAGGGTCCCTGATCAGCATTGATTACTCCACTGAATTGGAGGATTGACTGTCAGCTTGCCTTTCCCTGAGTCCCCTCCCAGATCCCTCTGTGGGAATCTGTCAGTAAAACGGAAATGCTGAGATTTACTGACAGATTCCCTGACAGTCAATCCTCCAATTCAGTCAGTTCTAATCTGTCAGGAAAACAGCCATTAGGACTGACATAACCTGTCAGGAACATCTCATGTGGCTCTGATGGCAAGTCTTGCTGTTCGTTCCGGTGTGAATTCCTTCCTTGTCTCCTGGGCAGCAGCCGAATTGTGCCAGTCTTGCCATCTGATTTGTAATCCATGAATCTCGGCTATCTTTCCGTATCGTAGGCCGAATTATGCCAAATTCTCCTGAACTCTCTGAGACCAGCTCCTGCTGTTTCTCCGGATCCTGCTGGATCTGGAGTTTGACTGAAATTCTTCCATTGGCATCGGATCTCAGTCTCCATCAGAAGTCGTGTTGTTGCCCATATCTGTTCACTCCCGTTGCTGGACTTGTCGATGGTTCTGCTGCACCTCTATTTCCAAATGACCCAAAGTGTCATCTTCCTGATTATCCCGAAGCAGATGCGTTCAGATTTGTTAAATTGAGCAGGGATGTTAGTCCATTGGAGTTAATTGGATCGGGTGTTCGGGAAAAGGGGAGGGGAAGAGGTGGTCCCAGAGTACTGAGGCTCTTGCCCATACGTCAGTAGCAAATTTGCAGGTTATCAGACAGTGTATTAGATCCTCCTCCTGTTCATTGTCTGAGCGCAGACCGAACATTCTTCTGAACTATTTGGAAGGGTAAAATACTGAAATAGTCATTGGATTTTCTTTTTTTTATGGACGTGTATACGTAGCCAAGAGTTCACTGGGAGGGCATTTTATGCGATCAGCCATAATTGAAGGCATCTGATTTTAACGGGGCGTATTGATTTGTATCACTTTTGCCAGGGTAAATCGGAGATTGGTTCCATTTTCTTTGTCCGAGCAATTTGGTCCATCTTTCTTTGATTACACGCTCAGGGTCCTTTTGTTTTCAGTAGCAACCTGTACCCCATTTTGACTGTGTACTGAGTTATGTGCCAGGGGCTCTTGGCAGATTCTGCTACTGTCCGAGGTCCAAGCTCCCATTCATCTGGGTCGAGTTCTAGATCTTGAATTGCTGTCTCTAGTATGTGGAATATAATCTTTCGGCCAGATGCCCAGAACCCTTATTTTTTCGAAGCGTATATGAGTTCAGGGTGTCTTATTGTGGATCACTATTGCGGATGGACAGGGTTTTGGGGATGGTCCAATTTATTGGGAAGGAGGTGAAGACTCCTGTGAAGTCTGATGAAGGAGATCTGCTGTATAGGCTCTTCATGGTTCCATTTCCTGGGTCAGTACTCCCCGCTCCCTTGGTTTCTAAGACAAGTCCTCTTTTAATACTAGGTCCTTTCAGCCGACCGGATTCTTCTTCTTTTTTTTTTTTTGAAAAAGGTGAAAGAAAGTATGATCCGCTGTACTGGTGCAGAGAAAACTATCTGCTCAGAGTCTGCTGGATAGGAAAATTTTTCTTTTGATTTCTGTTGTTTTTCTAATAAAGAAACTATGGCAGTATTGACTGTCATCATACGTATGAAAACAAAAACTCAAAGGGCTATCCCTCCAGAATCCTCACGGCACAAGGCTTGTGAGCCACATGCTAGCCGGATCTCAGGTGGGTAATCACAAAGTGGCGTTGAGCAGGTTTCCCCAGTATTTATTCCTTCTCTATGGGCAGACGATGATGGGGATTGATCCTGAGCCAGGGTGTGTAGTTGCTGCAGGATTTGGTCTGCAACAGCTTGCCCTGGTGGTGATAACCTTTAACTACAGCGCTCTGTAGGTGGTTCATATGGTTGTCTATTTTCCTTCTCTTGTCTGGCAAGGATAAGGGAGATCCTACTGCGATTGCAACAGGTGTGTGCCCAACACTGCATGTGGGACATGCTAAGATAGGATGTGGTGAATGATGGGATTGGGGGTAGTCCATGCAGTAGAGACGCGTACTTTCTATGACAGCTTCCTGGAAACATTGATGACACATGGCATGCTGCTGACATGTCAGCAGGAAAGCAGGGTGACGTTCACAGTTATTTAGGCATGGCATATCAAGGCCACAAAGGCATACTGGGCAAAGAATTACGGGGTGGGAGGGATGAGTACAAGACAAAGGGTTGCAGTTTTCGTGGCAGAGACTGGCAGTGACCATCCCTTCATAGTGGTCAAAGCAGAGACTATGTTGTGTGCATGCTAACCATACTGTGGCTGTGTGAGAACAAAATGGGATGGCACAGCCACCGTCCTCTGGAGAGGCTCCTTCACTGTCCGTGGTTGACTCCATCCGATCTACAAAGGGAGGGGACGCTACCTGGCCGTGTACAGGGGAAGGAGAGGTTTAGCCGGATTGGTCTTCAGAGGCTGTAGGGCTTGCGGGTGCACAACATCATAGTGTTCCTGATGGACAAGCCAGACCAAGTGATATTCTACCGCTTCGTGATAGAAAGAGTTAATATCTCCTGCTGTGTGCACCCTACTGCCATTGTCCCATAGGGTCTACGAGTTACCTGCAAAGGTATGAGCACTGAAATGACCTGGACGATGAAGGATGCATGCATGAACATTTGGATCCATGCCTGGCATGTGATTCTCTGGAGCAGGCTGGCGTTATGTAGTCTCCCTCCTACCCATAAATGCCATGGACAGGACTTCTATGGTCATGCCAGGTGCAGTACTGTCGTCTTCTGGACAGACAGCACGGTGCTCTGCTTCTATTGAGAGGACAACGTCTGCAAAACAGAAACAGCATAAGGGTTGCAATTGTAAGCGAGAAGACATACATTCATGGCATAGTAGTATGATAGTTCACACAATGGCCTAGCTGTAGCACTACGAGATCATCTGATTCTGCAGGTTGTACGGCAGAGGCAGGTTCATCCAATTCTGCAGATTGCACAGCAGGCAGTGATTCATTGTGGTCTTGAGTATTTCTGTCAGGTTCCTCCGGCTGTATCACCTCCATTAGCTCTAGTATATGCTCCTGAGAGAGATCTTCAGCTGGGGGCTCCATCAGGTGATCTGAAGGTGTATCATTGCAAAGACTTTCTGGTTCCAGGTTGCCTGTAGCGTATCTCTGACGAGGCTGTACCATAGGTAGGGACAGATTCGTAATTTTGTTTGGCTGAGGGCTAACCGAGAGACCTACCTGTAATATAGGAAATATGGGCCCAGTACTGACTCGAATTTCCTACAGCTACCCTAACTGCGCATAGCAGACCCGGGCTACCCCTAGGACAGACAGGCCCAATGGGCCTACACTGATAGACGGTCCTATAGCCTATAGCCGGGTAGGGAGAGGCCCTAAGGGCCGAAACAGAAACGTACCAGTCGGTCAGTCAGTCCGGTCTAGGTCGAGTCTAGGCTAGGGTAGAGTATAGATAGGTTGAGAGAATCGGTCCCAGGCTTTTGGCAGTTGACACTTCGTGGTGGAAGTTGCTGCGCACGCAGCATCAGGTCGTGGTGACTGATCCATGCGTGGGAGACGGCGGACATAGCCAGACCTTCGGAGCGCTGACCAGACTGGGGTCAACGCTGTCCGCTCTGACTCTCTGGGAGTGAAAGCGGTATGGGCTATCAGAGGTCTGATGCGTTGGAGCACGTGGTGCACTGCTGACCCTCCTCAGGAGTAGGGTCCCAGTGACAATGCAGCCATAGCTGCATCTTCTCAGAGATTATCATCGTCTGGACTTCATCTTCATCAGAGACCGTTGGTGCTGAGCTTCTTCCTCATCATCTGAGTGGCGATTGGCGCTGGGAGCCTGTTTCATCTTGGCGCAGGCCACTGAGTTGGATGTCAGGGTGGCGCTGGGTGTTACCTGGGGTTCTGGTGCTATTTTTAGCTGTTCGGTGTGTGTGGGGTTGAGGCGCTACCCCTCTGAGGGTAGCGCAACAGGTTTCTGAGGTTATTCAGTGAAAACGATGCTCTGAGTTTAATAAACAGTTGTAA